ATAAGTGTCACATCAAACAGCCTTGCAATGTACACACTTACAAAATGTTGTCTCTTAATTTCAACAAGAAAAAAATAACAACAGTTATGGGTTTTATTTGACCCCATGTATGCTTAGATTGATAGAAAAGGGTGAACTGGGGCATGGTTAAAATAAAAAAAGGATTTTTGAAACCCTAAATTACTGTTGCCGATTATTTTGGGACAAGTAGTTTTGTGGTTCGGCCAAGTAAAATACACACTGCACTTGTCCGAAGGGACAAGTGAATTGAAAAGAAAGTTTCCTCCCCTGCAATATAAACTTAGTATTTTATCACCTGTCAGTCTCATCACTTGGATCATAATGCCCATCCTCTGCAAGGGTTGACAACTGGGCTTTAAAAAATTTTTCATAGGTTCAAGCAATTCTCGCCACCATTTTTCAATCTTATTTTGTGTTGAGGGACCATACAGGATACTTTCTGTTGCATGTTCCAAATCTCCTTGCTTGCCTCTAAGATAGCTGTGAATGGTTGCCATTTCACCAATTTCAGTTCCTTTGTCTATTGTTATTCTGTCTGGTAAAACTATGAAACAAGGAAAAAAGTCCATGATACCAAATAGCTTTATGATCAATTTTAGTAAAATACCAATCATTTAGTACCAAAGCGTCAACATGGTTTATTCATTGTACTGTACGAACAAACACAGGCAACCTGAGCCTGGACACGCTACACATTTCTTCTAAGGTTTTTTGGACATGCCATGTTACTATATCTTGGGGGGAGTTAGGCACAATTTTAGTGAACACTATTGCTTACTTAGACCAGCAAATTTCATTACATCTGCAGTATTAAGCCTTTTCAAAATGTAACTGCATTTTTTTGACAAATTCTAAAATTAATTTAGGCTACATGTACACTATACAGGGTTAATTTGAAAACAATTGACATCATTTTGTCATTAATCTGCATGCATGTGAATGAAGCCTATCTAATATGGACAGGAAGGTTTTCTTCGGTTTCACACTCAAATTTACCTGGAATTCGGTGCTGATATGCAGCCGTAGATTGAAAATGTTTAAGTTTACCTTTACTCTGAAACAGGAAATCAAAATAGAATCTTCCAGTTATTCTTGGATCATTATTTGACGTCCAAATCCGAAGAAAATCGATTTTCCCACTGAAAGTATCTTGGCCACCATATATGTTAAGTGGGAACATTGCATTTGAAAGCCGCAAAGTTTTTCGTGGCCATGAAGTGACATTGTAGAATCAGATCCCTATATCAAAAAAGGATTAGCATTTTAGTTGCAATTTTTTTTATACAATAGAGTAGATTTAGTTCCATTGTTGAATAGGTGACACCTAAATTAGAATTTAAACCTTATATTTTTTTAGGTGACATCGTCTAACATTATCAAATTCGGAGAAATAACAAAAATGTTAGAAGAATACGACATGTTGCCAGAAAAAAAACCATCGTAACTCAGCTTAATTTCTAGAACACCTATTTGTGAAACAATATTATCAATAAGCATGAGATTGATTGACAATGAATTCCTGTAAAATTTTGGATAACAACAAATAATTTTGTGGTAAATTATTTAGCAAAACATTTATTTAGCAAAGATTTGAAATTTTTTAGTTGTTTTATTTTTGCTAAATGATGATTGGCTCGTTCAAACTTAGTAATTACTGAGTATACAGTATAACTGTACTGTATTTGTTAAATTTGTCTAGCTATTCAACAGTGAGGCTAAATTCTCTCAAGCAAGTTCTCATATTTAAAAATGTACACGGCCATTTTTATTCTCTGCGCTGTGTGCATATCGTGCATTCGTCTTGGAATAAATTGAATAGCACTTACATTTGAGGTAAATACTTTATTTCTCTTGAGACGTTTTGGTTTCCCAACACCACCCCTGGCTTCAAGTCCTTCTGGGTTGACATCTGCCATAGTATCATACACTAAATTCCGAGGCACCTTAAGACCATGTACTTCCCGTATTTTTTTATGCATTGCACGATAGCCAAGTAGTTTTCCTGGCTCCACCTCAACTTTTACTGCTTTCTTGACTTCTTACACATCAATTTCATAGTCAACATATTTGATTCCAAAGAATTCAACATGGCGCGAGAGCGTTCGTTTGCTCCATGCTTAGTTAAGAGACCGAACATTCATCACATCTAAGATCTCATCCTGGCGATAGCTGCAGCGAACAAAGTCTTCCAGATCCTCTTTTAATCCCACGTCTTCCATCCAATCGGCACTTCTAACATGGGACGCCATTTTGTTTACACAGGAAGCCCAAACTCAAGACTGCCTGTGTCTTTGAGCCCCAAAGGATTCTGGTCTATGGCGTCAATGGGCCATCGGCATTCTTTTTTCTTAATTTCTATTTATTTTACTATGGCGTTAATGGACCATACAGATTATGTTTTTATTGATCTATTTTCTTTTCCTTGATTCAAAAAATAAAGATAAAAAAGAAAAAAATTATATAAAAGAATGATTTAAAAACAAAATAATTGACAGAAAATTGCAAAAAAAACACTATGCGTCAATGGGCCACCATACACCTCAGAAAATTCAGCTTCAGGAAGTCATGTAATAACTGTCAATGAAACAAATTGCCGAGAAAAATGGTCCTCTGCAACAGTGTACGTGGACTCAAACACGTCAATTTTGGTGCAAACAGCCAACGCTTCTTTGTCACGGATCAATTAACCTCATTTTGCTATAACTATGCACATTCTGTTTGATAGTGGGCCGACTACGCCGTCTCCCGCCAAACTCAAATTGAATGAGATAATAGCCCTTATCGCATTTGTGTCTGCAATGCAAAGGGTCCGCGGAGTTACAGTTTCAGGACGAGGCTATCGGGTCAACGTTTCTCGAGAAACACCAGAAACACTCCATGTCTGACCATATAACTCTGGAATCTGCGTTTTTTTCTGCCGAGGAAAAGGTTAAAATTCTTAGTGGTAATTGTCCTGGCATCACGAAAGGAAGATTGAAAGAATGGCTGTCATTTCGGAAAGGAACGGCAAAATTTTGTCGCGTTTGTTCATGACTACGGTTGTTGTTCCTTTGTCGGCCTTTTTGAGGTTTAACTCAGAGTCACGTTTCAAGGCCCTCAGCGCCTTGCGTTCGGCCGGAAGCAAATTATCTTTTGGCTTTGTAATTTCTATTTCTGAAAGGTCACTTTTAACCTCTTCTAAATAGCTTTCAAGGGCTACTGATTTTTGTATTGGTGGTATCCATGTAGATTTGACGTGGCAGGGATGGGTTTTTTTGTCCTCCCCTCGGAATATGTAAATCAGACGCATTCTCCTTGCGAACTGATCAAAGTCACACAGTANAGCACCACAGTTTCTTTAGAAACTCAGCCTTTATTCAAATTGATGAAGTTTTGTGCAGTACGGCGAAGTCGAACTCGATGAAAACAAATGAAACTCTGCTCCAAGTTTTTTTGTTGTTGTATGTTTGTTTAGAAAAAAAAATGGTCTCTTGGAAAGAATTGAGAGAGCTTATAATGCTCTATTATACATGAATGTCCTCGATGACGCCTAATTTCTCTTACTATGCGACCTTTACAACCCACAAAACCTGGACTTGCCATGTGAGTTGTACCCACATTTCGACCTCGAAAACCTGACCGAAAATGAATGTTTGTCCGAATTTCGGTTCAAGAAAGCTGACATCCCAAGACTTTCTCGGGCTTTACGGATTCCTGCTGTTATAAGTTGTCACCAAGGGACAATTTGTGACGGAACCGAAGGATTGTGTATGCTTTTGAAGCGGTTGTGTTACCCTTGCCGATACAGTGACATGGTCCACTTGTTCGCTAAGCCCGTTCCTGTATTGTGCATGATAACAAATCAAGTTTTGGATTATATTTATCAAGTTCACAGCCATCGCATTCTGCAGTGGAATCATCAGCTGCTAAGCCAAGCCGATCTTGAAAGATTTGCCGAAGTTGTTCACCGAGAAGGAAGCCCACTTGATAACTGTTTTGCTTTTGTTGATGGGACAGTTGGCCATGTTTGTAGGCCCGGCACTGTTAACCAGAGGTTGCTTTACAATGGACACAAACGTGTCCATGGAATCAAGTTTCAGTCTGTTGTTAGCCCGAATGGAATGACTGCAAATATGTATGGCCCTGTTGGTAAGTTGCCTTTTCTTTAGAAAATTGAATCTGGGGTCATGGTGAGGAGGCAACTGCCAAAGTGTTTTGTTTTTCCCTTTCATCTTGGAAAATTGCATGGAATAAGACTTCCTGGAAACATACAGCTGCTTTTTCATGAGAAATTAAAAAAACCTCTTACAAAAACACTTCACTCTCATAGGCAAGCTGACTATTTCCAGAGGAAAGCATGTTTCTTTCAATATTTTCAATATTTCATAATAAATGAATAAACAAATGAATATTTTGATTTTCCTCTGAGTTGTCATAGTTACAAGAAAAATGAACTATTCCTTTGAGACCCTTAATGCTTCAATATTCTTTTAACAAAATGTTATAAGACTTTGGTTTCACTTATCTGACTGAACTTTAACAGTGCCTTCATGAATTTTGTTGCAGAGGGCAGAGAGGATGACCTCAATCAGTATGCCTTCAGCCTGGCTGGACAACCACTTAGTATTTACGGGGATCCCGCCTATCCTATTCGTGTACACCTTCAATGTCCATTTAGAAATGGAGCTTTAACCTCACAGATGGAAGCTTACCATACTGCTATGAGCACAGTGAGAACAAGTGTGGAGTGGCTGTTTGGAGACATAATAAGTTACTTCAAGTTTCTAGACTTTAAAAAGAACTTAAAGTTGGGACTGAGTAGTGTGGGGAAAATGTATATTGTTAATGCTATTCTTAGAAATGGGCTAACATGTCTATGTAGAAACACAACCTCAGATTTTTCCTGTGTGATCCTCCTAACCTTGAAACTTATTTGCATAAGACCCTGGATACCTCCAGTTCAGGCTAACTGTTTTGGAGAATAATTTGGATATATCAACAAAGTTGAAATGGTAAATTGGCCACCGTAATAATTACAAAAGCTGACGTTTCGAGCGTTAGCCCTTCGTCGGAGCGAATAGAGGAATTGTGGGTTGTGTGTGCTTTTAAAGGCAGAAAATGGAGCTACGTTATTGGTGGGTGCATGGCAACGAGAAAAACATGAATAAATTAGTGGAATGAAAAGCGTTCATTGATCCCTGTGGGATTTAGACTCTACCTCCTCTACCAGAGAGGAGCTCACTCAATTCATAACTGCAGTCAATTCTTTTCACCCGGCTCTGAAATATACTTCGGAAATTTCTGACAATTCTTTATCCTTTTTAGACGTCAAAGTTTCAATTGAAGGTAACGGTTTATGCACTAGTGTGTATTACAAACCTACAGACTCGCATAATTACTTGTTATATTCGTCTTCGCATCCATCTCACGTTAAGAGTTCCATTCCTTTTTCTCAGTTTCTAAGACTTCGTCGTTTATGTAGT